AAAAAAAAATGTAAGAAAAGAAGTTGAATATCACATATCATTCCAAGAATAAAACTGCTTTGGCATTCTTTGTTTTTTTTATTATCTTTTAGTAGTTGTACAAAGAGAATTCAAGTCAACATATTTATAAGTAAAATGCATCTTGATCAATGTTACCCCTTCATATTCCATCATCTTTCCCAATCCTACCAATCCCTTCAATTTTCTTAGCTCCTCTGGTCACTTTACAAGCAACCAACTAAACCTGTGAGATTGAAGGGACAAAGACTCCCATTTCTACCCTTCCCCAGACCAGTCTATATCCTTAGACACCAACCAGCAAATTTAAGTCATGAACTCTACTTCTTGGAGGAAGGGTAAGGAATACAGCCTAAGCAAAAAAAAAAAAAAAAAATCATGGACCACTAAATCCAAAATCAGGGGGAATCATTTTCACTTTCAAAAGCTAAGCTCAACTCCAGGAAATGGAAACATGTTTTGTTTTGTTTTTTGTTTTTTTTAAAAAAAGCTAAGCTCAAGTAAACTAGATCTCTGACTAATTTCTAGCTAGAGCTTTTGGTGTAGACCAAAAATCAACAATAGCCTGTGAGTTAAACCCAATTATTTATCTGTATATATGCATGGAATAATAATACAGATGTTTATAACAATGATTGACACAAGCCGGGCACTGGTGGCTCACACTTGTAATCCTAGCTACTCAGGAAGCTGAGATCTGAGGATTATGGTTCAAAGTAAACCCATGCAACTCTTACTTCCAAGTAACCACCAAAATGCAAAAGTGAAGCTGTGGCTCATGTGGTAGAGTACCAGCCTTGAGAGAAAACACTAAAGGAAAGCACTCATGCCCTAAATTCAAACCCAAATACTAACGCATGCACACACACACACACACACACACACACACTAAAGGTTTACTAAAGCACAGTCACACCTACTTATTTATATATGGCCTATGTCTGCTTTCACCCTACAACAATAGTTAAGTAGGTGCAATAGAAACTATATAACCCACAAAGCCAAAACCTATTTATTATCCTACTAGGTAGTAGGATAACAGGTTGATATCCAATAAAACAGGTTGTTGACCAATGACTGAACTCAGAGCTTAGGCACTGTCCCTGAGCTAGCCACAGCTCCCTTTCCAGCTGAGTCCTGGCAACCTCTGACAGTCTTTCCTCGGATTTCTACCATCTTAATGAAAGCAAGATCTACTTGACAAGAACTATCAACTTGGCAAGTCAACAGTTTTACTAATCACTCTTCACTCCTATTTAATTTAGATTTCATATCAGACTTGCTATCACAGGCACTATTATACAACACTATCATTTATACTGCCAGGTTTGCTCATGCTTTACATACTCCCAGGCTCTCTAATAGAATATAAACATTTTTGAAGATCCAGAAACAAAGAATTACCTTTTAACTAAAGGGTAAGTAGGATTTATCCAGATCATAAAAAGTACCCTGAGGGGCTGGGAAGGTGGCTCAGTGGTAGAGTGCTTGCCTTGCATGCATGAGGCCCTGAAGAGCTGAGGGACAGCACCCAGGCCCAGAGTTCAGGCCCCACAACTGTACCCCCAAAAAAAAAAAGCAGCAAGAGGATGCTGTGTCTGAATTGTTCTAGACAGTACAGACTAGTCTAAGATAAAGTTTCTTTTGAGAGAGAATTTAATGAATTGTATCATTCAAGGAATACTCATTGAATTAAAAGTCCTGACCTCAATTTTTCCATCAATTAAAAGTTCTTTTTCTCACACCACTGGGGAAAGAGAAAAGTCATCTAACAAGAAAGAAACAAACACTAAGCCTGAGAGAACCCTGTAAAAAATGGGCAAATTTATTATTCATTTTCACCTAGTATTTATTTAGCACCTCATACCAGACACTGAGGACAAGGTAATAAACAATGCAAACAGAAGCAACTGTTCTCAAAGAGCTTACATTCATGTAGAAGGGGGCTTAAAATAGATCATTACTCAGTATATAAGAGAGATGATTCCAAGACACCCTTGAGGTTACCAAAACCCACAGATGATCATTTTCACATAGACTACATACATCTTCTTGTATACTTTAAACTATCTCTAGATTACTTATAACACATAATATACTATAAGTACCACATGAATTGCTGTTACTTTGATTAGGGACTATTGACAAGGGGAAAAAAAGCCTGTGAATAAATTATTTTTCTTGGGGCTGGGAAGGTGGCTCAGTGGTAGAGCGCTTGCCTTGCATGCCTGAGGCCCTGGGTTCGATTCCTCAGCACCACATAAGCAAAAAGAAAAAAGC